TTATAAATAAAAGGGAAAAATTTGGGACCCTGAAAAATCTTTGATTTACTGAGGATTCGGTTTACGTGAAGACCTGGTTATGCGAGTTACTGTACTTGCCCATTGTTTTCTTAATTCTATTCAAAACATTTCATCAAGTTAAAAATAATCGTGACTTACCTTGACACTGGACTCTGAAGTATCATACACCTCGTGGTCATCAAACTTGTACCATTTCTGAGTTGTCGGATTTCTACAACATGCCGTATCTACAAGTATACAACAACATGTATGTTACAATCTTCAAAATTTGTCCGTTTTAAAGTAACTTTTCTATTTGATGGAGTTTGTTATGTTCTTTACTACAATTTGATACTTTAATACAGTACAATAATATTGAACAACATCAGATAATGATCCAGTATTTTTCTAACAGTGGGGTGGGGTTGGGGTGGGGGAAGGGGTCCCACAATATTTCAGCAAGTTGTAATGCATATTTCAGACAGGGTACTGTGAAAAGAACTAGGTAGTTTAAGCCTTTTCTCATAAAAATAATGCAATATTCCATGTGATATTTAAACCCTTCTATTATTTTTCTATCACTATTTTTATTTCAAATGACCTTGTTTCTCCAACTACCACCATACTGTGAATATGTCCCCCCCCCCCCATCCCCCAAAAAATTAACATTCCCACAGATTTATTCTCTAAAATATCACTTATCGTTGTTTGTTCAGTTGGTTTTTATGCTGATTTAAACACATGCTGTTGGTCATATCTTGTCAGTTGGTCCACTTATTTACTTTTCTGGATAATAAAGCAGTAATAATCAATTTCTCTGCAAGTGACCAATCACTAATGACCAATCACTAATGTAAGAGATAAACTATGAAATAAATGATTGACAAGGGAGAGTACTTTTCATAAGGGGACACAGCCTTCTACAATACTAAGTTCCCATCATGTCTTGAAAATATGAAATACAAATAACTTACAATGGCCTCCATCTAGAGTCCCAAAGTGATTCTGAAATAAATAAGAAAAGCTATAAACAGAAATGTACCTTGAGTAAATATTAAGAATTGCAAAACCTTGTGACAATATTTACTTTAACTTAATATCAAAATATACAACCACATATTTCAGCAACTTCAAGCACAGCAATCTAGTTTTGTTTTTATTTTGATTGGGTTTTATGTCACACCAACATATAGGTCATATGGCGACATTCCAGCTTTACTGGTGGATGAAGACCTTAGGTGTCCTTCCATGCATTATTTCAGGCACAAACGGACACCTGAGTAGAACAACTGAAGTTCCATAAGCTAGCTGGATAGCTTTCTCACATGAAAGAATGCAAAGTCCCTGTCAGGATTCGAACCCACAGCGGTGAGGGGCAAGTGGTTTGAGGTCAACGACCTTAACCACTAGGCCAGGACATACCTACCTGTAATCTAGTAAAATTTAACATACAAACAATTTAATTTTCTATTGTTTGATGAAGATTTCAAGAAATTAATAAACCTTTTAAACATTTTAAATTAACTGATACAAAAAGTGTTACCATAACTTTATTTCATAAACTTTAACTTCTACTATCTAAATAATACATTTTGTTTATAAATACATTCCTTATACATGGCATAATTATACAACATTGCTGATATTCAATTATTTCAAGTACTCAATGAATGATTATCTTTGAAAAATAAAAAGTTCTGACTTTTACATATTCTAAACATTACTTAACGTTGTTACTTACAGATACAGCATAAAGTTTATATGGCTTTGGTCTCGGACCCATCACAAACGAAGACATGTCTAAACCTTTGACAGGAAAATCCCACGTGAGCATTTATTTTTTGTTCTCCATTGACCTTCATACACAAATCTGTAAATTGAATTGAAAATTTTATTCTATTTTGTATACATACTAGTCAAATTATTAAGATAAGGCCAAATTACTAGAAGCTGGAGACATACAGACAGATGAACAGACGAACAAACATACAAAAACTAATCTGTATTATATATTTACACCTGATTATCATACATTGATCATCTACATCTTGGCCCGAAGCACTTTTAATGCTTTTTAACAAGAAGCAAAATTTAATACAGTACACAATTTTAACGAAAAATTTCTATATAAAGTGGAATGACCCTTAAAAACATGTTATTGAAGTTCGCTTTTTGTTGAAAAAAAAAATGTAATACTTATGAATAAATTTTTAAAAGACCCGGGAAAATTCCCCTCAAATAAAAAATTTTCCCCAACCCCACCAGTCAACCGGCCCAAATTTTTCCTATTTTTTGTACTTATGGCCCCGCTGGGGGAAAAACACCCTCCCTGTTTATCTTTCATTCATTTACAAAATGGGTGTTAAATTTAAACTAAAAATTTCTTTAAAAGGGCCCACCTGTTTTGGGGGGCATTCAAGTACACAATGAAGGGGAAATTTAATTTACCCAAAAATGAAAAAAAAATGGCTACCTTTTTTAACGGAAATCAACAAAAATGTGTGGAGTTTCCAAAAAACAAAATTTTTTACAAAAAGTCCCGGGGAACATTTTCACTGTGGGGGCATTTTCAGCGGGAACTTCCCTGGGATTTTCTCCTCGGGGGTGCAAACTGGCCGGGAGACAATCCCTGGAAAAATCGCAAAAAAAATTATTCTCTAAAAAATGACATCTGACATCTTGGGTCATATTCCTAACGCGAAGTCATGCTACATTTTGTTCCCAAATGTTTGACAAAAATTTTCACTGGAAAATAATGACATTTTTGTTCCCAACTGTTAGACGAAACTTAAAATGGAAAATAATAGTAACTTTTGATGACAACTGTTGGACAAAATTTCCAACAAGAAAATAATAGTTTCTTTGGTCCCAACCATTAAATTTTCAAGCCAAGAAGTCAACAAAAATACAAGGCATCACTGATTGTAGGCTACTTCCAGGGACATTTGGTGGGGGGTGGGGGGAGGCATTTCATTGAGATCAGAAAGTAAACTGTTTCTAAGGTATTCTGAAGTGAATAACAAGGGTGCCATAGTCACAAAATACGCCCGTTTACGAAAAAGCTTTAGATGGAGATGGGGGCATTATGGATAAGTGTTATCTAGCAAGCAAGTTTTTATTCTTGGCACTGTGTTGTTAAATGAACCTTAAAACAAATCAATAGGGAAGATATGCACAGAATGTGTGACCTTGACCTTGGTCGCAGGGACCTGAATTTTATGCACGGCACTCAGCCTCACAATGATGAACATTTGTGCCAAATTATATTGAAATCCCTCTATGCATGTAGAAGTTTTGCTCCAGACAAGTGTTTTTTTATGAGCTCTAACTGTGACCTTCACCTTTGACCTAGAGACTTGGTTTATGTGCAGGGCACTACGTCTCATGGTGGTGAACAATTCTATAAAAGTAACATTAAAATTCCTCCATGCATGTAGAAAATATGCTCCGGACAACATCTGGATATATTTAATCATCTCCAGTGACCTTGACCTTGCAAATATTAACCTAAATTAAATGTGTAACACCTGTAGTCATGATAGTTACCATTTGTGCTACAATCCATCAATAAATGATGACTAAATGGTCCCCTATAACCATCTTCAAATTTTTATCTGAACTTTGACCTCTATGTGTAACCTTGACTTTGGTCGCAGGGATCTGAATTTTGCATGCGATACTCAGCCTCACAATGGTGAACATTTGTGCCAAGTTATATTGAAAACCCCCTATGAATGTAGAAGTTTTGCTCCGGACAAGCGTTTTTCAATGAGCTCTAAGTGTGACCTTGACCTTTGACCTGGAGACCTGGATCATGCATGGAGCAATACATATCATGGTGGTGAGCATTTCCATAAAGTATTATAAAAATTCTTCCATACATGTAGGAGATATGCTCCAGACAAAATCTGGATATTTCACCATCTTTAGTGACCTTGACCTTGCATATATTGACCTAAAGTACATGTGTCACAGCCGTAGTCATTATAATGACCATTTGTGTTACAATCCCTCAATAAATGATGATTAAATCGTCCCTATACACATCTTCATATTTTTATCTTTTTTTAAACGGGCGTATAAAAAGTACATGTAATTTAATAACTAAAAAATTCTGATTTAAGATTTTTATTCTAGGGAAATACATTTCATTACAATTCTTAATCTTTGAATGAGCTGAACTGATATTTACTTGAAAATTAAAATATAATTAAATTTCTATGAGAAAGTATTTACATTTGATAAGGTAATTACTGTATGATCTTTATGAACAAATACCAAGTTTACAGAACACCATAGTTATCACAGTTAAGTATCTTGACCAATGAATGAAACATGTGTAAATAAATGTTACATTCTTTACAACATACTCAAGTCCAAGAAAGAGGATTATTTCATGCCCTTTGATTAAATTCTATTTTTAGAAAATAGATCAAGGGAGTAATTGTGTAAGTCATTTATGAACAAAGTAATAACTTTGTTGTCTCCCTTTGATTAAATTCTATTTACAAAAATCTGGATATTTCATCATCTTTAGTGACCTTGACCTTGTATATATTGACCTAAATTATATGTATCACAGCCATAGTCTTGATAATGACCATTTGTGTTACAATCCCTCAATAAATGATGACTAAATGGTCCATAAACACATCTTCATATTTTTATCTGAACTTTGACCTCTAGTGTGACCTTGACCTTGGCCGCAAGGACCTGAATCTTGCACGCGACACTCCGCCTCACAATGGTGAACATTTGTGCCAAGTAATATTGAAATCCCTCTATACATGTGGAAGTTTTGCTCCGGACAAGCATTTTTCAATGAGCTCTAAGTGTGACCTTGACCTTTGACCTAGAGACCTGGTTCATGTGCGCGACACTGCTCCTCATAGTGGTGAACATTTATATGAAGTTTCATTAAAATCCCTCCATACATGTAGGAGATATGCTCCGGACAAAATTGGACGCCGCCCGCCCGCCCGCCCGCCCGCCAGGGGCGTTCCCATAATACGTCCCGTTTTTCAAACGGGCGTATAAAAAAGCAATTTAGAAATGGCACTTACGATCCACATATATTACTAAAATAAGCACAAATAGCCAGTGTAAGTCATACAGCAGAAGTATGGTGAAAAATACGGTAAAATAATTCATTAATCGAAAATAATATGTACATTATTTCTTGAATTGTAAATACTTTTACTTCTCTAAAACGTTTTTCATAAGTTTCATTTCCCTGAAATATTTTGACTTATCTCGAAGCATGCAGCTTTAATTTAATGGCTAAAATGTCTCTCTGTTACTCAACTTGACTTTGCCATCAAAACAATCTTGTCCCCTTAAAGTATGCTCAGCAAGCAAATGGATGAGCAAAAAATAAACTTATTTTGCTAGTAAAAACAATAAACACCATAAATACCTACTAAGTAAATGGTAAATAAAAAGTGATATTTTATTTCCTGTTTACAATTACCATCATAAATATATAACGTAAATGGTACCTGAAAAATGACATATGACTTCCTGTTTTTTTACCAAGAGGATTGGACAAGATGATTTACTTATCAAGTAACATAACAGGATAGTTTTTCAGCAAATGGATCGAGATAAACTGCTAACTACGGCAGCCTGGTTGGTATTTTATTGATAATATCAAGAACTCATATATGGTAAATATCAAGTTTAATCTCATAAAAAAAGTTTATTTTCATACTCATCAATTTAACCCTTAACCCTTTAACCCCTGCTGAATATTTGTAATGGTTTTGCCCTGTTTTAAATTTGGAACAGTTCATTCAAAGATTAAGATTTCAGTATCAAAATACACTGAGCTTCCAATAGTAAAGAACCTGGGCAGGCTGGCCTGGATCTATACTGACGACAAAGCCTAATCACTTTGATTTCCAGCAGATTAAGGGTTAAAAGAATAATTAATAAACATCTTCTTGTATAAGGGGACTAAACCTCATATAGAGTACTGACTATAAAGAAATTTTTAAAACGAGTTGGGGGTGGTGTTGGTAGTTCATCCTCCAGATCACTGCAGTAAGCCACTTTAAAATCATCTTAGTACAGTTCTGTAACCGCATTGTTCCCGGCATGCTGTCATTTTAAATTTATCATGATAAAAGTGACCTGCACCATCTGGGAAGTCGACCTGGGTCACCTTTCTCAACAGTTCAATGCTTTTCCTATTGATCAATCTGGACATTTCATTATAGGATTGTCTTCCTTCTAACATTATGAATTTTCAAGCCCAGAAATCAACAAATATTCTTGTATCACAGACTGTAGTTGTCCAATAATGCATTGACCTTGACTGACAAAACTGACTTGATACACCATCCCAGGGTAGAAATTCATCAAATGACACAGCACACCAAATATTTAAGATATTAGCCAACATATGAAGATGTTTGTTTTTGTTTTGTTTTTGTTCTTTATTGCACCAACACAGTATAAGTCATATGGCAGATTTTCAAGCTTTACTTGTATAGAAAGACCTCAGATGCCTATCCAATTATCCATGCATTATTTCAGGCACCAACAGGCACCGGAGTAGGACTACGAACATTCTGTAAACTAGCTGGATAGCTTCCTCATTTGAAAGAATCTAAAATCCCTGTTGGGATTCAAACTCACAGCAATGAGGGGCAAGTGGTTTGAAGTCAACAACCTTAACCACATGGCAACAGGCATTAAGTAAGAACAGAAGTGAAGGGCAATAGAGGAGAGGGGAGAAGGCAGGGGCGAGGGAAAGGGGATGTGTTGGGATCATCAGGAAACAAGAGCCCGGTTTGAGCCAGGTGATGCTCCCTGAATAGGTTTTGGACACAGGAAAGTACACCTCTTATAGTCCCTGGAAAAAGTTCAAATTCCAAAATTAGGAAAGGCAGAGTTACTGTTCTTTGCACTGCACTTCTAATCAATGCGATCTATCAATCTTCAAAGTTTCTTGTTGATACCTCTTATGGTTTCCGAGCTATGTCACGGACAAAGTTCAAAATGTAAAAATGAACAAAGGGCAATAACTACAAAATTTGGCAAGGCGGAGTTCAAGTTCTTGTGCACTGCAAATCTACCCATTGAGTTCTATATACCTACAAGTTTCATGTTGATATATCTTGTAGTTTTAGAGTAATGTCCCAGACAAAGTTCAAAAAGTAAAAATTAAACAAAGGGCAATAACTCCAAAATTAGGCAAGGCAGAGTTATGATTCTTGTGCAGGGCACATCTTCTCATTGAGATATATCTACCTACAAAGTTTCATGTTGATATCTCTACTCTATAGTTTTACAGCTATGTCCTGGAAAAGATTTTTCTAAAAGGGGAGATAATTAAAAAATGAGGCTTAACAGAGTTATGGTTCTTTTGCATTGCACTTCTACTCAATGAGATCTATCTACCTACAATGTTTCATGTTGATATGTCTTATAGTTTTAGAGTTATGTTCCGGACAAAATATAAAGTGTTAAAACTAACAAAGGGCAATAACTCCAAAATTAGGCAAAAAGGAGTTATGTTTCTTGTACATTGCACATCTACCCATTGAGATCTATTTACCTACAAAGTTTCATGTTGATATCTCTTATAGCTTTAGAGTTATGTCCTGGATAAGATTTTTCTAAAAGGGGAGATAATTCAAAAACCGGGCAAAATAGAGTTATAGTTCTTTGACACTGCCTTTCCCATTAATGCCCTCTACCACTGTATGAAGTTTAAACAAATTATCTATAAGGGTTTTCAAGTTCTGCTCCGGACAAGACAACGGACGGACAGTCGGACAAGGTGGCGACTATATGCTCTCCCTTTGGGGAGCATAAAAACCAGCAACACCATGCTTCAAGGAATTATTTCATGGGAGAATGAGAATATCATATTTACCTGGAGAGTGCATTTACCAGACGACGGTATTGGTAGCGACAGAAACATGAAGGCTTGAAACGTAACACTCTTCTTCCTACATGTCAGGCACATGATGGTTGATTTTAACTGACCCTGAAAACAAACAAAGAGCACCTCATTCAATATAAAACGCTTGTCTGTTAAAAATTCTTAATTTAAAAAGGGTCATAACTCCAAAACTATTGCATTTAGATTTATGCGTCTTTGTCTTATCAACTGCACCTTGTCCATGGTAAGCAAGTATTCAGAGGTTTCATGTTGATTACTTTTTAAATGTTTGAATAATAGGCTTAATTAAAGTTTTTGAAAGACAACAATTTAATACTCTTTTCATCTGCATTCAGATCTAGTCTGGCTACAGTGAAAATTATATTTTATAAATTTCACTAGTGGTTTATCACAATATAATCATCTGATATATTACACTAAAACATTGGAAAGCATGAAATAAAACAATATATTCTTACCTGAAACAGCTCTACAATTATACGTTTTTACATGAAACAGGTAAACAGTGATAAATATTTACCTGAAACAGTTCAACAATTATGGATTCATTGTGTAGTTTATGATTATTCCAAGCTATTTCTGCACCAATGTGGTCTGGTAGCTTGTCATTAACTTGGTCAGCTATCTTTGGACGGGTCTTTACCTGATTGTAGCAAAAACAAGATACAACTGATTGGTTATAATGAGGAAATAAACAGAAACATTTTCTCCCAGTTTTCACTTTAATTTGTTAATTTATTGATTACGAAATTCATTTAATTTGTTTAAGCCACCCCCCCCCCCCCCCAAGTTTAATCTAACATTTTAATATCTATTTACACTTTCAAAATTACAACTCTTAAAATTTTGACCAGTTAGCAAGGCTTGTTTGTTTGGTTGGTTTTACAGCATATAAACACAGTGGTTTAAACATATTTATTTAAGCTTGATTGCTAAACAAGTTCTTAATCACCTTCAAGTCTGCTACCTATAACCAACCAGTACTGGTGTCCTATGAAAAAACACTGATGTGACCAAATTAGGGCTCGAACCCATGATCTCTGGGTTGAAAGGCAAACACCATAACCATTTGGCCAACACTCCCTTTCTTAACACAGTATAGGTCATACGTCCCCCAAAACAAGAAAGATGATTTTGGCTAATCTCAATTGGTATCAAGGCACAATATAATACTGTTGAAAGACTTAAATCTTGCCTACCTTATTGAGTCCCTCATGAAGACTGTCCAGAAGAAATGTAAGAAATTCTTGACTATCTTGTTGCTCATAGCCAGCAAACATTGGCTGATGTTTCCCTACCACAGACTGTAAATAAATTGGCCAACATAAAACACTTAATGATGCAATGCCACAAAACCAGGTTTTCAACGTTCATGTTTCACAGAAGCTTAGTCATCACCTGGCTCGGCTTTCACTAACATAGTAAAAAAAATCACAGCTTAAATCAGAGATTTTTCTCAATTCTGAAACTGAGATTAAGATTTTTCTCAGTTTGGCTTTCACTAAAATTCTCAACTTACCACTTGAGATTTTTCTCAATTTGAGAATGTTAGTGAAAAAGTCGGACCTGGTGCATAGTGTTATCATTTTGCAATTAAAACTAATTACCAGATTTTTTCCTTTGGAAACTCTGGTAAATAGATAATTTCTGTGGCATACAATAGATAATTTCTGTGGCATACAAAGTCTTTCTAAAAAATAAATTCTTCTTTTGCGCCTATACACTTTCCATAGTTTAAACAATTGGGAGAAAAAACAGATTTTAAGATATCATATCAAAGCATTAATAAAACTTTGAATATTTCAGGGACTGAACTTGAACTACAATGTATTAAGTAAATATGTTTTTTTTATTATTCAATTCATATAATTTGCTTTTAATATTGGAACAATTTCTTTTCAATTAAAGGTACGGAACAATTTTCTTTTCAATAAAAAGTATTGAACAATTTCTATTCACTAAAAGGTATACAACAATTTCTATAGGCCAGTGCCTCGTCCAATATAGGATTTACAGCTGTGTACTTGACCAATAGAATTCAGTATTGTACTCAACAATGTAAAATAACCCCATAAAACATTTCCAACATTTCCAGTAATACATATCCTGTAATTAAAACATATCATTACCTTAAAATCTCTAGGAGTAATGAAACTGTACTGTCCTGACCAAAGGGACTTAACCAAGTATGCAAAATCATCTGTTACTTCCCATATGTTTCCAGACTTTCCTCCCCTGTAATGTAAATCATTTATATGTATAGTATAAGGCATGTATATGATAAACATCAAATCAAAACTTAAGGCTACAAACCTCCAGTTGTGTAAGGAAAATTAAAATATTCTGCTTAAGTTAGTTTGTTTGTTTTTGTTGTCTGGTTTTCACACAAATTGTATAACTTTTTTGGTCGATCGTAACATTTTTTTTAACATCATATCTCAATGATCAGATCCACTTAATCGGTTGAGATTCCAGTACTTTTAAGTTTTGAAAATTGAGTACCGCTCAAGCTGGTGCTAGGGAGCAAAGAGATGTTGCACTATTTCATCATCCCTTATGAACAGACTCAATTAAACTGAGTCTGTAATATTCATGTAATTTTAACAATTTGTCTAAAAGTGACAGACTAATGAATCAGCTGAGAGAAACAAATGACCATTACAATCAATGTCCGATATCAATTGTCAAAGTTTTTTTACCTTGCCCGAAGATTGAATCACCAAAATCCAGGAATACAACTCTGATGCTCTCCCTTTTGATCTAAGAAAGCAGGTTCGAAGTAAACTATGACAAAATTTTGCTATTTTTATCATCATATTTCTACCCCGCTCTTAACAGGGTGAAGGTTATTTCTCCTCATTTTGACATATCAAAGGTGATTTTTGTGAATATTAACCCATTACCACATGAGCATTTTATAAAAAATGGCTGTTTTCATTGAAAAACCTCCCGTTACAAGTTCAAATTGCAATGAAACTATAAAAAATGCTTCAATACTAATCACACTTAGCACAAATGTTAACTGGACCATTGCCTTTGCAACGCCTAGCTCAGTCATAAATTTCCTGTTACCATGGCAACGAGGGGCATCTCAAAATTGCAGAAAATCACTATTTTGCGTTGATTTTTTCCAATCAAAATTGATTTCAAAGTGATGCAACTTCTCAATGGATAGAGACAGAGTCAAATGTTTTTCAGCATTGGTTACACGTTACCTTATGATCAACCTGAGGTTATTTTTAGCCCCATCACAAGGTCAAAATCTTCTTGGCGATGAGGGAGTCACATCCCCCTTCTGGTACCCTCCTAATGTATCTTTTTGATAGGGGGCAGCGCCGAAAGTCATCAAACAACAGTTTTCAAACAAAAAACAAATGTTGGGGGCCTAAATGAGGCTTTTTTCACTATTTGGGACATCAAAAAAAGGGGGGGGTGATGAAGGCGTAGTAAGGCGTATATATCTGGTAATGGGTTAAGTGCCATGGGCTACAGATGTAGATTAAGCGGCTTAATATATATATATACAATAAAATGTTCATCACTTGGCCACCTCTCACATCATTTTATCAATTTCATTCCATAGGATTGATTAAAGTCATGGTATACTCACTTTTTAATATCATTCAGGAACATATCTGTAAGAAGGTACGTAACTAGTGGCGACGTATTGTTCAGACACTGTATCGTGCTGTTCATATAAGATGTGTTACCAAGGTTACGCAATCCAGTCAATGCACGACCCTGAAAAAATGTGTGTATTCATTTGCTTAAATAAAATCACAAAACAGTGATTAAAAACTTCACTGGTTCTCTTGCAATGACAAGAAGAGTCAGTCATCAGACGAGTTATACTTTTACAAGGTTACATACTTATTGACTTAACCTGGGAAATGCCTCTTTATTTAGTAATTTCCACAGACTATAATTTATAATTAGTAATGTCTGCTTGATTAACTTAAAAAAAAAATCTTACAAAAACCTTCAGAAAGCCTACTTTATGGCATAACTCATCAATGATTACATTAAATATAAACTAGAAATGTGTTCATAGGACGGGAGTGCCCCCACACTCCACTGTTTTGACAATCTTTTGACTCTAGGTCAAATATTTTTAGGCTACATGTGCTACAGGTTGAAAACCAAATATCTTTTACTAAGTAAAGGGCAAGAACTTTACAAATACTGAATTAATCCACAAGCGGACAACAAGGTGCATAAGTACACACGCTGACCAACATTCTTGTAAACTTTCAGGCCTACAGGTCAAATTCTTCGAGCTATGCATAAACAAGTTAAAAATTGCAAATTTATACTAAGTCAAGGGCCATAACTAACAAAACTGAAAAAAATCGCATGCAAAATCCCAGGTGCATAGCTTCACAGCGATGTTGATCATTATTCCTGCAAACGTGTTTTTTTCTAACTCAAGCACTCAAGGAACAAATAACACAACATAATGAAATGGTCAAGGGCAATAACTCTACAAATACTGGATAAATCCACAAGCGAAATCCAAGGTGCACAACTACATATGCTGGCCAACATTCCAGTTAAGTTTCATGATTCTAGGTTAAATACATTTTGAACTACCCAAATAATATATTAATTAACAAGTGAAACCCCAGACGCAAAACTTCACATGCAGATCAACATTCCTGTAGAGTTTCATGGCCCTATGTCAAATACTTTTTTAGCTATATGTGACATAAGTTGAAAATTGCAAATGTTTACTAAGTCAAGGACAAAAATTCTACAAATACTATATAAATCAAAACGAAAATATTTAGGTGCACAACTTCACATGCTGATCAACATTCCTGTAAAGTTTCATGACCCTAGGTCAAATACTTTTTTAGCAATAACTCCGACAAAACAGAATAAATCCACATGAAAATACCCAGGTGCACAACTTCACATGCTGATCAATATTCCTGTAAAGTTTCATGACTCTAGGTCAAATGCTTTTTTAGTTACATGCAACACTAGTTGAAATTTGCAATTTTTTACTAAGTCAAGGGCAATAACTATGAAAATACTAAATATACCCACATGAAAATACCCAGGTGCACTTCACATGCTGAGCAACAGTCCTGTAAGGTTTCATGACTCTAGGTCAAATACTTTTTGAGTTATGTGCGACACAAGTTGTATTTTGCCAATTTTTTCTAAATCAAGGGCAATTACTCTATAAATACTAAATATATCCACATGAAAATACACAAGTGCACAACTTCACATGCTGAGCAACAGTCCTGTAAAATTTTATGACTCTAGGTCAAATATTTTTTGAGTTACGTGCGACACAATTTAAAATTGCAAATTTTTACTAAGTCAAGAGCAATAACTCTAAACATACTGAATATATCCACACGAAAATACCCAGGTGCACAACTATAAATACCGATCAACATTTCGGTAAAGTTTTATGACTCTAGGTCAAATACTTTTTGAGCCAAGTGCGACACAAAAAGAGAACAGACGGAAGGATGGACGGACATCCGAACAAAATGGAATAAGGGGCCGTTCCTTTTGTTAATTTCTTTTGTTTTATAGAGGGCCAATGGCCTCTTACTCTATTGTTACTGAATGAACTCTTTTGTTCTATTTACAGTTAGATGATGGTCCCTTATCCTTATTCGGTAGTGCGGACATACCAACAGGCAAATAAGCTCATTAACTACACCTGGACGTATGTCCATAAGCTCATAAAAACAAAAAATAGCTCACATTATGAATTTTATGAGTTTTTGTTCTTTATTTAATTTCGGAATGAAGCTCATAACGGACGGACTAAATGCTCCCCCTAAAGTTTTGGCACAAAAAAATGGAAAATATTTAACTTAAATGTTAATGTATTATACATGTATATGTCAAAACAATACTTTCAGTAGTTGAGAAGACAATGATTGTCCCAATCTAGAATTCCTGCCACCGTGCTCCCGTTCCTCAAAAACAATTCAAGACATATAATTTCTATGAGACAAATTTGAATATATTTCTGAAACAAAAACTTTCACTAAGCAAGCTTGTTAGTAGAATAACACTTTGTTTCACAATTATTTAATATCATGTCAAATCACTTACCACATTTCCATAGACTGGATTCAAATCTCTTCTTTTTGCAGGTAAAGCAACAGGCATTGGTCTGAAAAAACATTAAATGAAAATGGTAAATGGTATGTTTTTCCCACCTGTTTTAAAATCATATCCGATTAAAACATTTTCACTTTACAAATAAAAGCAAGAAATATAGTCAAGAGGTATGTTATTCGAGTTATCATTGCAGAGTTCTCTGTAAGTTTTAAAGTAAGCACTCCAGATCTGAGAGAGGGCAACACTTACAGTATAACACTTTGAAACATTTTGAAGTTTGTTTTTTTTTCTTTTTTTTTTTTAATTTCTCATTTAAAAACAAACCCGCCCACTCAGTTTGATAGGGAGACCATAGGATTCGTTACCCAGGTGCTTACTGGTTTGATCCTTAGGCAAAAAAAATCAATTTGACAACAGATCTCTTTGACATTGAGTCTTATGATAATTTCCCCCTCACCAATGATTGAGAAACCATTTGTGTTTTGTAGCCGATAACTTGTGAAGAATTTGTAAATTACTGGTTAGTTATCTAGGAAAGTTGGTAAAAAAATCCTGAAAATCCCGAGTTAGGCAGTCTTTTTCTATAGTTTTACATAGAAAAGGAGACTGAAAATACTTCACTTCTGGAATAATCCTGAAAACTATTACGCATGTGGTTAGGTGGACTGACCACCATTTTGTCTGCATGTAGGGCTAACAGAGAATACTCTTCTTTTTTTAGTGACACTGACACAGTAAAGGTCATATGGCAATTTTCTTGCTTTATTTGTGGCAGGACATCTTGGGTGGCCCTTCATGCATTATTTTAGTCACCCTATGTTTTGGGTTTACCCAGTTAAAAGCTTCTTTCTATTTTAAACACAATCGGGCCATCTTGTTCAGTGGATCAAATAAATTTAAGCTATTTTAAGTACTTAACCACCACTCATGTGCTCAGGTGCGCTAAAAACTTAAATACCTTTTAACAGGTTTGTTTCCTTGGACAACAGACGGTGTTGGTTTCCTTTGAGGGAGTTTAGCCTCATCTTCCATTATCTGTCCAATATTTGGAGAGAGAGAGGAGTTTGGCCTCTTGAGTCCGCCTGACTTCGGTGTGGAGGGTTCATCATTCAATCGTGTAGTGTATGTACCAACTTTACCTTTACCTGTTGTAATTTGTTTAAAAATGTAGATACAGTCACACTTTTGCTTAAGAATACATTAAAGTAATCACCATCAATGAATAAAGACCACCCTCAAATAAAGACCACATCTAAAGTAAGTCTACCCTGCTAGATAATGGTCAAAAATCATGATCAAATCGAATATCTTCAGTTACACTAACATCAATAGATTTACACCAATACCAATAGTGTAACACCAACACCATATGTGTAACACCAACACCAAGAGTGTTACACCAACAATGATAGTGTTACACCAACACCAAAAGTGTTATACCAACACCAAGAGTGTCACACCAACACTGATAGTGTTACACCTAACCATAAAAGTGTTACATCAACACAACGTGACACTGACACATGGGTAGGTAAAATAGCCCAAGTATTCTTTGAATATGCCAGCTATTTATGCACTAGACAGCTGAGATTCAGCATTTATAATCTCACATCGGATCCCTTTGTTTATATACTTCAATGCTCAAATATAACAATATTTTAGAAAGCAAGGAACCAGCTTTAATACTGACCTGGTGGATCCCATTGTGTGGTTCCCTCATTATGGTTGATATAGAAGTATCTGTTTGTGCTGGGATCCAGCTGTTTCTCCCAGCCTTTCTGTAGGCTTGGTGAGGGAACCGGTTTAGGCTTTGTCTTAGCTTCTATAATTTACAGAAATTACGCTAATATGAAGCACAGTTTCTAAGAAACAATATCTTAATTGCATTAACCAGTATACTTTATTGTTTCTTAATTCAACTGTCAAGTTTAAAGAGGAGCGGTAGAATTGTTGATAATGTGTCTGCCTCTCAAACAAGAGATCATGGGTTCGAGCCCTACTCGGGTCACGACCATATTTCTTCATATGACACCAGTACTGGTTGGTTCCAGGAAACGGACTCGAAAGTGATTAATATAAGTTGCAAGAACTTGTTTCGCAATCAAGCTTAAATAAATATGCGTAAACCAACTGTCAAGAAATTATTAAAATTTTTGCCGTTAGTTTACATTTTTCTATCTCTATACAGTTTAATTTTTGTACCATGATGAAACATTAATCGTACTCTATTCAGTAGTTGATACTATTTATAGAATAACAAGGAAGAAAAAGATGAACCATACTGTTTACAGTGCTATTAACCTAATGCAACATGTGAATTACCTTGATGATGGTGATTATAAGAACCAATCTATTTTTACATTTTCCATAATCAATTTTCACATTTTCCCATAATCAATTTTAACATTTCAATGATCTATTTTAACATTCCCACCATCAATTTTCACATTTATAATAAAGTTAGTTTAAACTTACCATTCATTAACCTGATCTTTTCAACAGCCACACATTTAGCCTCTGCAGCTTTCTTTCTATCTTCTTCATCCCTTTCTCTTTTCTCTTCTCCCAATGTTTCCTTCTCTGTTCTTTCTTTCTCCAGTCGTAACTTTTCCCTTCGCTCTGCTTCCAACCTGTCTAGCTCAATCTACAAAATAGCACATGTCATTTCTTGAAAAGATCTACAATGCAACCTCAACTTAGTGGCACTCATTAGTATTTACAGCATCAGTTTCATTCTTTCCAAAGTACGACTTCACAACAAATCTAATATTCTAGAGCAACACATTTCAATAACAATTTTCCTCACAAAAAGGGTGTTACTCTGTAGAGATTCTACTGCATCAGATTCATTTATGCTCAAAAGTTTAGATATGAAAATTTATTATGTTAAGGTACAATTTAAGTTTTTAAGTCCCACCAACATTGAAATGTATATATGGCGACTCTCCAGCTTTACTTGGGTAGAAAGACCTCTGGTGCCACGTCCTGCATTATTTCAGGCAAAAGCCACCTGAAGAGAACCACCAATATTCCATAACCTAGCTGGATAGCTTCCTCAAATATAAGAATCCAAAGTCTCTGGTGAGATTTGAACCAACAGCAGTGAGGGACCAATGGTTTGACATCAATGACCTTAACCACTAACCATAGACCCCCCAGAAGATATAAAAGAATAAGTGGTTATATTACGTATATTACCTGTTGCCTTCGCTTTTTCTCTAAGGCAGCTAATATATCTTTCTCCAGCTGAGCTCCCAACTCCCTCTCTCTCTTGAGCCTTTCTTCAAGTTCAATTTTTTCCCTTGCCTGAACAGCAAAAAAAATGTAATTTCAAAACCTATTGACCATATAATTATCATTTTAGTCTCAAACAGGCATCAGGGCATATCAATCAAAAGTACCCAGCCAGAATGTCTCCTAAAGTAGCGGAAGGTAAGATATTTTAAATCAGCAACTTTAATAACTAAACAATTGAGGCCACAAGAGCAACAAAGGCAGGTCTCCACATTAATGGTTGTCTGACTGCCCGGGACAACAATAAATTCGGATCTTGGCAAGTGAGATCCAAAAGGACTTGTCTGACAGGGCAAGTGTAAAAAACAACATAACTAAACATATCAAAATCCAATTTCATAACCAATAACCCTTACAAATTATGGTTTCAATCTTAATTAGACTTAATTAGATTAGATCAAATTTGTCTAGACAATAAATGCCGAAGCTAACAGCAGGAGCCAATACACAGGCCGTCTAGATTAATACGTCAAATCTTGATTAAAAGATCTTGCATGATATAATTAAGATTTGTCTACATTATACATGTATTTAATCATGAAAATATATGCAATCATTTCTTAATGAAAATTTTGACTTAGACTTTATAGAAAATAAATTTCTAACTATCTGCCTTTATTAACATGAAATGTAAATTCAGTATTATCTTCACAAAATATGCTTTTTTGAACTTACAATATTGATAAATCTTCATTTAAGCATTTATAATATTTATGATATAAAACTATCAACAAATTGTGTTACAGGATCTTTAACATTATTATGTCAACACTTCTATTTAAAGGTATTCAGCCGCTTTTGAAGTTCCATTTGCTGTACACGAAAATAACCTGATATTTGGACCCAGATTTCAACCTTTCTTTGGTCTTCTGCCTTCATCTGTTTAATTCTTTCTTCTACTGCAGCAAAATCTTTCCAGTGTTGTTCTTCCTCTTCTCGTGCTCTCTCCCTAGCATTCTAAATCGGACGGACGGACAACTGACCGAAATCGAATAAGGGGCCGTTTCTTTTGTTATTTTCTATTGTTTAATAAAGGGCCAATGGCCCCTTACTCTATTGTTACTGAATGAACTCTATTGTTCTCTTTAGTTCTATTTACAGTTAGATTATGGCCCCTTATCCTTATTCGGTAGTGCGGACGTACCAACATTTGATATTTAAGAAGCAAATAAGCTCATTAACTACACCTGGACGTAAGTTCATAAGCTCATACAAAACAAAAAAAGGTCACAATATGAATTTTATGAGTTTTTGTTCTTTATTTAACTTCGGAATGAAGCTCATAACTCTATGTTAGCTCAGATAGACAGACTCACTAAATGCCCCCCCACCCCCCTCTAAAATGGAGGCACAAAAAAATAACTTTAACAATAATCTCATAGTGATCTACAATGTAAATGTATTAAATATGTCAAAACAATACTTTCATCAAGTTGAGAAGAAAATGATTGTCCCAATCTAGAATTCCTGCCACCGTGTTCCTATTCCCCCAAAACAATTCAAGACACATAATTTCTATGAGACAAACTTGAATATATCTCTGAAACAAAAACTTTCACTACGCTAGCTTGTTAGTAGAATAACACTTAGTTTCACAATTATTTAATATCATGTCAAATCACTTACCTGATTTCCATAGACTGGATTCAAAATTTTTCTTTTTGCAGGTAAAGTTAAAGGCACTGGTCTGAAAAAACAGTAAATAAAAATGGTAAATGGTATGTTTTTTTCACCTGTTTTAAAATCACATCCAATTAAAACATTTTCACTTTACAAATAAAAGCAAGAAATATGGTCAGAGGTATGTTATTCAGGTTATCATTGCCGAGTTCTCTGTAAGATTTAAAGTAAACATTCCAGATGAGAGAGAGGGAAACAGTATAACACTTTGAAACTTTTGAAATTTTTGTTTTCTCACTTAAAAACAGACCTTCCACTCAGTTTAATAAGGAGACCATAGGATTCGTTACCCAGGGGTTCACCGGTTTGATCCTTAGGCAAAAAAATTCAACTTGACAATTGATCTCTTTCACATTGAGTCTAATGATAATTTGTCAATGATTGAAAAACCATTTGAGTTTTGTAGCCGACAACTTGTGAAGAATTTGGAAATTACTGGTTAGTTATCTAGGAAAGTTGTTAAAAATCTTAAAAATCCTGAGTTAAGCAGATATTTTCTATAGTTTTACATAGAAAAGGAGACTGAAAATACTTCACTTCTGGAATAATCCTGAAAACTATTACCCATGTGGTTAGGTGGATTGGCCACCATTTTGTCTTCATGTGGGGCTAACAGAGAATACTCTTCTTTATTTTACTAACACTGACACAGTAAAGGTCATATGGCAACAATCTTGCTTTATTGGCGGCGAAACATTTCGAGTGGCCCTTCATGCATTATTTCAGTCACCTTATGTTTGAGGTTTACCCAGTTAAAAGCTTATTTCTATTATAAACACAATCGGGCCATCAGTGGATCAAATCAATTCAAGCTATTTTGAGTACAATACCACCACTCATGTGCTCAGGTGAGCTAAAAACTTAAATACTTTTTAACTGTTTCATTTCCTCGGTCAACAAACGGTGTTGGTTTCCTTTGAGGGAGTTTAGCCTCATCTTCCATTATCTGTCCAATATTTGGAGAGGAGTTTGACCTCTTGAGTCCGCCTGACTTCGGTGTGGAGGGTTCATCATTCAATCGTGTAGTGTATGTACCACCTTTAACTTCATCTGTTGTAATTTGTTCAATAATGTAGATACAGTCACATTTTTGCTTAAGAATACATTAAAGTAATCACCATTCCTGAATAAAGACCACCCTTAAATAAAGACCACATCTTAATTAAGTCTACCCTGCTAGATAATGGTCAAAAATCATGAGCCAATCGAATACCTTCAGTTACACTAACATCAATAGTGTTACACCAATACCAATAGTGTTACACCAACACCGTATGTGTTACACCAACACCATATGTGTAGCACCAACATCATATGTGTTACACCAACACCAAGCATGTTACACCAACACTGATAGTGTTACACCAACACCATATGTTTTACACCAACACCATGAGTGTAACACCAACACTGATAGTGATATACACCAACACCATATGTGTTACATCAACACAATGTACACTGACACATGGTAGGTAAAATAGCCCAAGTATTCTTTGAATAGGCCAGCTATTTATGCACAAGACAGCTGAGATTCAGCACTTATAAACTAACATCGCGTTCCCTTTGTTTAGTTATCTCAAGGTTCAAATATAACAATATTTAAGAAAGCAGGGAACCACCTTTAATACTAACCTGGTGGATCCCATTGTGTGATTCCCTCATTATAGTTGATATAGAAGTATCTGTTTGTGCTGGGATCCAGCTGTTTCTCCCAGCTTTTCTGTAGGCTTGGTGAGGGAACCGGTTTAGGCTTTGTCTTAGCTTCTATAATTTACAGAAATGACACTAATATGAAGCACAGTTTCTAAAAAACAATATCTAAATGGCATTAACCAGTATACTTTATTGTTTCTTAATACAACTGTCAAGTTTAAAGGGGAGTGGTGGCCGAGTGGTTAAGGTCTATGCCTCTCAACCAAGAGATCATGGGTTCGAGCCCTACTCGGGTAACGACCATGTTTTTTCATATGACACCAGTACTGGTTGGTTCCAGGAAGCGGACTCAAAAGTGATTAATATAAGTTGCAAGAACTTGTGTCGCAATCGAGCTTAAATAAATATGTTTAAACCAACTGTCAAGAAATTATTAAAATTTTTGCTGTTAGTTTACATTTTCTATCTCTATACAGTTTATTTTTTATATCATGATGAAACATTAACCATACTCTATTCAGAAGTTGATACTTTTTATAAAATAACAAGGTAAGGAAGAAAAAGATTAACCATACTGTTTTCAGTGCTAACCTAATGCAACATATGAATTACCTTGACGTTGGTGATTGTAAGAACCAATCAATTTTCACATTTCCCCATCATAAATTTTAACATTTTACTCATCGACGGATATTCCGATCCAAATCGCAATCATACATGTATTGTCAGATATTGTTTTGCAAATTCTACCATATTCCATAATATTTTAAATTTTCTATCTTAATTTTCAATGGAAATTTATGTCATTACAACCGTAACTATTTTCTTAAAAGAGCGTATGACGGTAAAATTACATTATTCCTAAGCGTGCTATTGTACAGCCCCTATGCCAGATGAAATTTCCGGCAATTTTCATATTTATAATAAAGTAATTTTAAACTTACCATTCATTAACCTGATCTTTTCAGCAGCCACACGTTTATCCTCTGCAGCTTTTTTTCTATCTTCTTCATCCTTTTCTCTTTTCTGTCTTTCCAATGTTTCCTTCTCTGATCTTTCTTTCTCCAGTCGCAACTTTTCCCTTTGCTCTGCTTCCAACCTGTCTATAAAGACCACATCTTGATTAAGTCTACCCTGCTAGATAATGGTCAAAAATCATGAGCCAATCGAATACCTTCAGTTACACTAACATCAATAGTGTTACACCAATACCAATAGTGTTACACCAACACCGTATGTGTTACACCAACACCATATGTGTAGCACCAACATCATATGTGTTACACCAACACCAAGCATGTTACACCAACACTGATAGTGTTACACCAACACCATATGTTTTACACCAACACCATGAGTGTAACACCAACACTGATAGTGATATACACCAACACCATATGTGTTACATTAACACAATGTTACACTGATACAGGGTAGGTAAAATAGCCCAAGTATTCTTTGAATAGGCCAGCTATTTATGCACAAGACAGCTGAGATTCAGCACTTATAACTAACATCTGTTCCCTTTGTTTAGTTATCTCAAGGTTCAAATATAACAATATTTAAGAAAGCAGGGAACCACCTTTAATACTAACCTGGTGGATTCCATTGTGTGATTCCCTCATTATAGTTGATATAGAAGTATCTGTTTGTGCTGGGATCCAGCTGTTTCTCCCAGCTTTTCTGTAGGCTTGGTGAGGGAACCGGTTTAGGCTTTGTCTTAGCTTCTATAATTTACAGAAATGACACTAATATGAAGCACAGTTTCTAAAAAACAATATCTAAATGGCATTAACCAGTATACTTTATTGTTTCTTAATACAACTGTCAAGTTTAAAGGGGAGCGGTGGCCGAGTGGTTAAGGTCTATGCCTCTCAACCAAGAGATCATGGGTTCGAGCCCTACTCGGGTAACGAGCATGTTTTTTCATATGACACCAGTACTGGTTGGTTCCAGGAAGCGGACTCAAAAGTGATTATTATAAGTTGCAAGAACTTGCTTGCAATCGAGCTTAAATAAATATGTTTAAACCAACTGTCTAGAAATTATTAAAATTTTTACTGTTAGTTTACATTTTCTATCTCTATACAGTTTATTTTTTATATCATGATGAAACATTAACCATACTCTATTCAGAAGTTGATACTTTTTATAAAATAACAAGGTAAGGAAGAAAAAGATTAACCATACTGTTTACAGTGCTAAACTAATGCAACATATGAATTACCTTGACGTTGGTGATTGTAAGAACCAATCAATTTTCACATTTCCCCATCATAAATTTTAACATTTTACTCATCGACGGATATTCCGATCCAAATCGCAATCATACATGTATTGTCAGATATTGTTTTGCAAATTCTACCATATTCCATAATATTTTTAATTATTTATCTTAATTTTCAATGGAAATTTATGTCATTACAACCGTAACTATTTTCTTAAAAGAGCGTATGACGGTAAAATTACATTATTCCTAAGCGTGCTATTGTACAGCCCGCCCCTATGCCAGATGAAATTTCCGGCAATTTTCATATTTATAATAAAGTAATTTTAAACTTACCATTCATTAACCTGATCTTTTCAGCAGCCACACGTTTATCCTCTGCAGCTTTTTTTCTATCTTCTTCATCCTTTGCTCTTTTCTCTCTTTCCAATGTTTCCTTCTCTGATCTTTCTTTCTCCAGTCGCAACTTTTCCCTTTGCTCTGCTTCCAACCTGTCTATAAAGACCACATCTTGATTAAGTCTACCCTGCTAGATAATGGTCAAAAATCATGAGCCAATCGAATACCTTCAGTTACACTAACATCAATAGTGTTACACCAATACCAATAGTGTTACACCAACACCGTATGTGTTACACCAACACCATATGTGTAGCACCAACATCATATGTGTTACACCAACACCAAGCATGTTACACCAACACTGATAGTGTTACACCAACACCATATGTTTTACACCAACACCATGAGTGTAACACCAACACTGATAGTGATATACACCAACACCATATGTGTTACATCAACACAATGTTACACTGACACATGGGTAGGTAAAATAGCCCAAGTATTCTTTGAATAGGCCAGCTATTTATGCACAAGACAGCTGAGATTCAGCACTTATAAACTAACATCGGTTCCCTTTGTTTAGTTATCTCAAGGTTCAAATATAACAATATTTAAGAAAGCAGGGAACCACCTTTAATACTAACCTGGTGGATTCCATTGTGTGATTCCCTCATTATAGTTGATATAGAAGTATCTGTTTGTGCTGGGATCCAGCTGTTTCTCCCAGCTTTTCTGTAGGCTTGGTGAGGGAACCGGTTTAGGCTTTGTCTTAGCTTCTATAATTTACAGAAATGACACTAATATGAAGCACAGTTTCTAAAAAACAATATCTAAATGGCATTAACCAGTATACTTTATTGTTTCTAAATACAACTGTCAAGTTTAAAGGGGAGCGGTGGCCGTGTGGTTAAGGTCTATGCCTCTCAACCAACAGATCATGGGTTCGAGCCCTACTCGGGTAACGACCATGTTTTTTCATATGACACCAGTACTGGTTGGTTCCAGGAAGCGGACTCAAAAGTGATTATTATAAGATGCAAGAACTTGTTTCGCAATCGAGCTTCAATAAATATGTTTAAACCAACTGTCAAGAAATTATTAAAATTTTTGCTGTTAGTTTACATTTTCTATCTCTATACAGTTTATTTTTTATATCATGATGAAACATTAACCATACTCTATTCAGAAGTTGATACTTCTTATAAAATAACAAGGTAAGGAAGAAAAAGTTTAACCATACTGTTTACAGTGCTAACCTAATGCAACATATGAATTACCTTGACGTTGGTGATTGTAAGAACCAATCAATTTTCACATTTCCCCATCATAAATTTTAACATTTCACTCATCGACGGATATTCCGATCCAAATCGCAATCATACATGTATTGTCAGATATTGTTTTGCAAATTCTACCATATTCCATCATATTTTAATTTTTTATCTTAATTTTCAATGGAAATTTATGTCATTACAACCGTAACTATTTTCTTAAAAGAGCGTATGACGGTAAAATTACATTATTCCTAAGCGTGCTATTGTACAGCCCCTATGCCAGATGAAATTTCCGGCAATTTTCATATTTATAATAAAGTAATTCTAAACTTACCATTCATTAACCTGATCTTTTCAGCAGCCACACGTTTATCCTCTGCAGCTTTTTTTCTATCTTCTTCATCCTTTTCTCTTTTCTTTCTTTCCAATGTTTCCTTCTCTGATCTTTCTTTCTCCAGTCGCAACTTTTCCCTTTGCTCTGCTTCCAACCTGTCTAGCTCAATCTACAAAATAGCACATGTCATTTCTTGAAAAGATCTACAATGCAACCTCAACTTAGTGGCACTCATTAGTATTTACAGCATCAGTTTCATTCTTTCCAAAGTACGACTTCACAACAAATCTAATATTCTAGAGCAACACATTTCAATAACAATTTTCCTCACAAAAAGGGTGTTACTCTGTAGAGATTCTACTGCATCAGATTCATTTATGCTCAAAAGTTTAGATATGAAAATTTATTATGTAAAGGTGCAATTAAAGTTTTTAAGTCCCACCAACATTGAAATGTATATATGGCGACTCTCCAGCTTTCCTTGGGTAGAAAGACCTCTGGTGCCACGTCCTGCATTATTTCAGGCAAAAGACACCTGAAGAGAACCAGCAATATTCCATAACCTAGCTAGATAGTTTCCTCAAATAAATATAAAAATCCAAAGTCTCTGGTGAGATTTGAACCAACAGCAGTGAGGGACCAATGGTTTGACATCAATGACCTTAACCACTAACCATAGACGCCCTAGAAGATATAAAAGAATAAGTGGTTATATTACGTATATTACCTGTTGCCTTCGCTTTTCCTCTACGGCAGCCAGTATATCTTTCTCCAGCTGAGCTCCCAACTCCCTCTCTCTCTTGAGCCTTTCTTCAAGTTCAATTTTCTCCCTTGCCTGAACAGCGGAAAAAATGTAAATTCAAAACCTTTAGAATCATGTTGTTTTCAAATAACATATATTGACTATATTATAATCATTTTAGTCTCAAGCAGGCATCAAGGTATATAAATCAGATATAACCAGCAGTGAGAGATAAGAGATTTTAATCAGCAATTTTAACAACTAAACCATTGAGGCCACAAGAGCAACAAAGGCAGGGCTTCACATAAATGGATTTCGAACTGCCTGGGACAACTAAAGATTTGGATCTTGGCAAGTGAATTCCAAAAGGACTTGTCTGACAGGGCAAGTGCAAAAAAACATTACTAAACATATCAAAATCCAATTTTATGACCAATAATCCTTACAAATTATGGTTTCAATCATAATTTGACTTAATTAGATTAGATCAAATTTGTCTACACTATAGACGGACGGACGAACGGACGGACATCCAACCGAATTGGAATAGGGGCCCGTTTCTTTTGTTATTTTCTATTATTTAATAGAGTGCCAATGTCCCCTTACTCTATTGTTACTGAATGAGCTCTATTGTTCTCTTTTGTTCTATTTACAGTTAGATGATGGCCCCTTATCCTTATTCGGTAGTGCGGACGTACCAACATTTGATATTTAAGAGACAAAAAAAGCTCATTAACTACACCTGGACGTAAGTCCAGAAGCTCATAAAAACAAAAAGTAGCTCACAATATGAGTTTCTGCTCTTTATTTAACTTTGGAATGAAGCTCATAACTCTCATATGTTAGCTCAGATGGACGGAAAGACTAAATGCCCCCCCCCCCCTAAAATGGGGGCACTGAAAAATTAACTAAAACAATACTCTCATAGTGATCTACAATGTAAATGTATTATATATGTTATGTCAAAACAATACTTTCATCAAGTTGAGAAGACAATAATTGTCCCAATCTAGAATTCCTGCCACAGTGTTCCTATTCCCCAAAATCAATTCAAGACACATAATTTCTATGAGACAAATCTGAATATATCTCTGAAACAAAAACTTTCACTAAGCAAGCTTGTTAGTAGAATAACACTTTGTTTCACGATTATTTAATATCATGTCAAATCACTTACCACACTTCCATAGACTGGATTTAAATCTCTACTTTTTGCAGATAAAGCTGCAGGCATTGGTCTGAAAAAAAAAAAAAAAACATTAAATGAAAATGGTAAATGGTATGGGTTTTTTCTACCCGTTTTAAATAACATCCAATTAAAAACATTTTCACTTTACAAATAAAAGCAAGAAATATGGTCAGAAATATGTTATTCAGGTTATCATTGCAGAGTTTTCTGTAAGTTTTAAAGTAAGCACTCCAGATCTGAGAGAGGGCAACAGTGTAACACTTTGAAATATTTTTAAGTTTTATTTTGTTTTTTTGTTTTTTTTTTCAATTTCTTATTTAAAAACAGACCCGCCCACTCAGTTTAATAGGGAGACCATAGGATTCATTACCCAGGGGTTCACCGGTTTGATCCTTAGGCAGTAAAACTTCAAGTTGACAATTGATCTCTTTCACATTGAGTCTAATGATAATTTGCCTCTAACCAATGATTGAGAAACCATTTGAGTTTTGTAGCCGATAACTTGTGAAGAATTTGGAAATTACTGTTTAGTTATCTAGGAAAGTTGGTAAAAAATCCTGAAAATCCTGAGTTAAGCAGTTATTTTTCTATAGTTTTACATAGGAAAGGAGACTGAAGATACTTCACTTCTGGAATAATCCTGAAAACTATTACCCATGTGGTTAGGTGGACTGGCCACCATTTTGTCTGCATGTGGGGCTAACAGAGAATACTCTTCTTTTGTAGAAACACTGACACAGTAAAGGTCATATGGCAATTTTCTTGCTTTATTGGCGGCAAAACATCTCGGGTAGCCCTTCATGTATTATTTCAGTCACCTTATGTTTGGGGTTTACCCAGTTGAAAGCTTCTTTCTATTATAAACACAGTCGGGCCATCTTGTTCAGTGGATCAAATCGATTTAAGCTATTTTGAGTACAATACCACCAATCATGTGCTCATGTGAGCTAAAAACTTAAATACTTTTTAACTGTTTCATTTCGTTGGTCAACAAACGGTGTTGGTTTCCTTTGAGGGAGTTGAGCCTCATCTTCCATCATCTGTCCAATATTTGGAGAGGAGTTTGACCTCTTGAGTCCGCCTGACTTCGGTGTGGAGGGTTCATCATTCAATCGTGTAGTGTATTTACGACCTTGAACTTCACCTGTTGTAATTTGTTTAAAAATGTAGATACAGTCACACTTTTGCTTAAGAACACATTAAAGTAATCACCATCCCTGAATAAAGACCACCCTCAAATAAAGATCAAACCTAAATTAAGTCTACCCTGCTAGATAATGGTCAAAAATCATGATCCAATCGAATATCTTCAGTTACACTAACATCAGTAGTGTTACACCAATACCAACAGTATTACACCAACACAATATGTCTTACAACAACACCATATATGTACACCAAAATATTACACAAACACCAAGAGTGTTACACCAACACTGATAGTGATACACCAACACCATATGTGTTACATTAACACAATGTTACACTGACACATGGGTAGCTAAAATAGCCAAAGTATTCTTTGAATAGGCCAGCTTTTTATGCACTAGAAACCTGAGATTCAGCACTTAAAAACTCACATTGGTTCCCTTTGTTAAGTTATCTCAAGGTTCAAATATAACAATATTTAAGAAAGCACGGAACCGATTTAGGCTTTGTCTTAGCTTCTGTAATTTACAGGGATGACGCTAATATGAAGCACAGTTTCTAAAGAAACAATATCTAAATGGCATTTACCAGTATACTTTATTGTTTAAATCAACTGTCAAGTTTAAAGGGGAGCGGTGACCTTGTGGTTAATGTATCTGCCTCTCAACCAACAGATCATGGGTTCGAGCCCTACTCGGGTCACGACCATGTTTCTTCATATGACACCAGTACTGGTAGCTTCCAGGAAGCGGACTCGAAAGTGATTAATATAAGTTGCAAGAACTTGTTTCGCAATCGTGCTTAAATAAATTTGTTCAAACCAACTGTCAAGAAATTATTAAAATTTCTGCTGTTAGTTTACATTTTTCTATCTCTATACAGTTTAATTTTTATATCATGATGAAACATTAACCATACTCTATTCAGTAGTTGATAATATTTATAGAATAACAAGTTAAGGAAGAAAAAGATTAACCATACTGTTCACAGTGCTAACCTTATGCAATATATGAATTACCTTGACGTTGGTGATTGTAAGAACCAATCTATTTTTACATTTTCCATAACCAATTTTCACATTTCCCCATAATAAATTTTAACATTTCAACCATCAACTTTTACATTTCCAATCAACATTTTTTAGATTTTTCTTTTGCAATTTTGTCATTTCCCATAATAATTTTTTACATTTCTATCATCAAGTTTTACATATACTTTCACCAACTGTAAGACTTCCCCATTAACAATTTTCACATTTTCTATCAATTTCACATTTTCAATGATCATTTTTTACATTCCCATCATCAATTTTCATATTTCCAAATTTTCACATTTCCCACCATCAATTTCACATTTATAATAAAGTAAGTTTAAACTTACCATCCATTAACATGATCTTTTCAGCAGCCACACCTGTAGTCTCTGCAGCGTTCTTTTTATCATCTTCATCTCTTTCTCTTTTCTCTCTTTCGTATGTTTCCTTCCCTGTTCTATCTTTCTCCAGTCGCAACTTTTCCCTTTGCTCTGCTTCCAAACTGTCTAGCTCAATCTACAAAATAGCACATGTCATTTCTTGAAAAGGTCTACAATGCAACCTCAACTTAGTGGCACTCATTAGTACATGTATTTACAGCATCACTTTCATTCTTTCCAAAGTACGACTTCACAACAAATCTAATTTTCTAGAGCAACATATTTCAATAACAGTTTTCCTCACAAAAAGGGTGTTACTCAGTAGAGGTTCTACTGCATCAGATTCATTTATGCTCAAAAGTTTAGTATGTAAACGTACAATTTAAGTTTTTAAGTCCCACCAACATTGAAATGTATATATGGCGACTCTCCAGTTTTCCTTGGGTAGAAAGACCTCTGGTGCCACGTCCTGCATTATTTCAAGCAAAAGCCACCTGAAGAGAACCACCAATATTCCATAACCTAGCTGGATAGCTTCCTCAAGTATAAGAATCCAAAGTCTCTGGTGAGATTTGAACCAACAGCAGTGAGGGACCAATAGTTTGATGTCAATGACCTTAACCATTAGCCTTAGACGCCCCAGAAGATATCAAAGAAGTGGTTATATTACTTATATTACCTGTTTCCTTCGCTTTCTCTCTAAGGCAGCTAGTATATCTTTCTCCAGCTGAGCTGCCAACTCCCTTTCTCTCTGGAGCCTTTCTTCAAGCTCAATTTTCTCCCTTGCCTGAGCAGCAAAAAAAAAAGAAATTTCAAAACCTTTAGAATCAGGTTGTTTTTAAATAACATGTATTGACCATATAATTATCATTTTAGTCTCAAGCAGGCATCAAGAGATATAAATCAAAAGTACCCAGCCATTCTGCCTCCCATTCAGAGGTAAGAGATTTTCAATCAGCAATTTTAACAACTAAACCATTGAGGCTACAAGAGCAACAAAGGCAGGGCTCGGCATAAATGGTTTTCCAACTGCCTGGGACAACTCAAAATTCGGATCTTGGCGAGTGACTTCCAAAAAGACTTGTCCGACAGGGTAAGTGTAAAAACATATCAAAATCCAATTTCATGACCAATAATCCTTACAATCTTTTTTCAATCTTAATTTGACTTGATTAGATTAGATCAAATTTGTCTAGACTATAAATGCCGAAGCTCACAGCAGGAGCCAATACACAGGCTGTCTAGATGAATACGTCAAATCCTGATTAAAGATCTTGTATGTTATTATTAATATTTGTCCACATTATATTTAATCATTTAAATATATGCATTCATTTCATAATGAAAAATTTGACTTAGACTTTTTAGAAAATAAATTTTTAACTACCTACCTTTATTAAAATGAAATGTAAATTCAGTATAATCTTTACAAATAATGCTTTTTTGAACTAACAAAATTAATCTTCATTTAAGCATTATATTTATGATATAAAACCATCAAAATTGTGTTAAAGGATCTTTAACATTATTATGTCAACACTTCTATTTAAAGGTATTCAGACGCTACTGAAGTTCCATTAGCTGTACACGAAATAACCTGATATATGGTACTACAATTTTGTTACCAATTTCTACCTTTCTTTGGTCTTCTGCCTTCATCTGTTTATTTCTTTCTTCAGCTGCAGCAACATCTTTCCCACGTTGTTCTTCCTCTTCTCGTGCTCTCTCCCTAGCATTCTAAACAGGGAATATCAAATTAAATAATCATCAATGCTCAATATCTGTTCTACTATAAAAAGGGCACCTTTCTAATATCTTTCTCAAAAGAGACCTTTCTTACACAAAAACCTTACCACAGGCTCCGTGATAATCGATTCATTAAGTAAATGACATCTGTTTACCAGACCATTACGAAAATAGCATTGTTTATCAATCAACTATAAAAATGGCATCTGTTTCCCATTTAACTATGAAAATGACATTTTTTAACCCATCAACTATAACAAGAGCTGTCGGTTGGACAGCAACGCTCGACTATTGTTAGTGCTTGATAGTAAAAGAACCTTGATAATGTAAAATTTTCCAAGTTAACAAAAAGGGGAAAGTTTTTCTTTAAATCCATGTTACAGTAAAAGACCTTGGAGAGAGTCCTATAATGCTCTCAAAGAAGAGTATAAAATTTCAACTTGTTTCAAAGCCAGATGTCAATAGAATATGAAACTATTTGAGGTGTTATGCAAACCTAAATGTAAATTCTAAATTGAACAAGAGCCACATTTATATATATACACATATCATTATATATACAATGATGGTGAACAAGTGTGCAAAGTTTCAAAGCCATAAGGCAATGGACTTTGAAAATATTTGAGGTATTACAAAAACTTTAACATAAGTGGTTACTCTGACACCGACGCCGGCGCTCGTGTGACTACAATAGCTCTACTTATTCTTATAGAATTTACAAGCTAAAAATGATATCTGTTTCCCAGACCATTATCTAAAATGGCATCTGTAGGTTTTTCACAGGGTTATCGCCAAATATCTTATTTCATCATTTCATAAAACATTACATATTTTATTATAAAGACTACCTTACCTTTAAATCTTGTTCTTCTTTTATTCTTCTCTCATTCTCCAATCTCTCTTCTTCCTTCCTCTTTCTATCCATCCTTAATCTGTCAACTTCTTCCCTTCTTTTTCTCTTTTCTGCCTCTGCTCTTGATAGCTGTTCCAATTCTTCTTTCCTGATTATTTAGTAATACAAATAAGTTTAATAATTATTTATCTAAGCTCGATTTTTGATAAAAACTATTTTTATCTTATCTGAACCACCCTAAATTATTCTCTAGTAGGGTAATTAAGATAGTATTAAGATTAAACATATAGATACAATATACAACATTCCCCTTGCTTAAAAAAATAAGCATATTTAGTTTATTTCAAATTAACATGTAAAATACATCCATTTAAATATATCAAATATAATTAATAATCTTTTAATGATGACATTGACGAAATTTTAATGCTTTCTAAATTGTCACTGATTTACAGTTTCACTCATGGCTATTTCAACAAATGTAACAACTTTGTCCAATCTTTTCCACAATAAAGCTTATTCGATTTCACATCTCTAACTGACCTAGTGATTGTGAATGGTCTCGATTTACCTGGCACTTTTGCAGGAAATAGGGACCCTGTAGGGGTATTTTGATTTGTTTGTTTACTTAAAATAGATTCCTGTGATTCATCTACTGTAGATGGTTGACAAGTCACAGTTCAGAAGCTTTGTTTAGGAAACGGCGATTTCTACGATAAACAGCACCGTCACGGGTGCACGTGAAATGAGTGTTCATTATGCTGGGTTATAACCTTGGCTGGTTCCCAGTACTTATCTTTTCAAATTCTGACAGATTCTCCGGTTTTTTAGAGGTTTCATTTTGTGCGCAATTTTATCGTAATGCTTCTTGCTAATTAATTGTAAATAACCATTTTCTTTCTTGCTTCACAATGATTTACTGTTTGTGGCAGAAGCTGGTTGTTAGTTATTGGGAGAAGCGACTTGAGTCGTCTGCCCATCAAAAGTTGAACGGGTGACCATCTACATTTAATTGGCGCACTCCTTTATTCTAAAAGGGGCAAATAAGGTGTGTCATGAGGATGGTTCCTTTTTATTTGAGTCTCTATATTTACAACAAATCTGGCAATTAACTACATAATTTGTAATTTGTTTTGACATTGATGGCCAACACATTATAATCCTAGCCCGTCTTGTCGTTTTTTCTACACCAAAATGACCTACATGTACTGCATAAGTCATGTCAAAGAATTTGGTATTACTATTTTTTTATCCTTGAACACAATATTGTCTCCAAAAGCCAATTCGTCTCTGTGATTCCAGTATTCTATCTAATACAGTCGCACGGCAATTCGTCTGTCGTCAAGCCATCTAATAAGCGTTTGTAACTGAGCATCATTTTGAGTTGTTGTTTCAATTTCCTGCAATTTTAAATCACTTATCGGTAGCGATTTCAGTACAGTGTGTACATGTGTTTCTAATCCATCAATCAGATTAGGAAAAGTGTAACGTAATTCCGACTGAGAGCATCTCCAAGCGGAATATCTTTACCTCTACAGTGAATTACATCAAGGTCAAAAAGTTGTTATAACATCCGTTGTTACCTAGGCGGGGCACTATAAAGTGGTTTTCTCATAATAGATACTATCGGTTTACAGTCAGATTCGACAACCGTGCGCCGTCCGTAAATCTAGTGCATCCAAATTATATTGCCAGCATATCTTTTTCTTTTTGTGCGTATTCTGTCTCGGTCAATGGCAGTGTTTTTGACACGTATGCAATTGGTTTACCATTTTGTAAGCAACAGACACCAATGCCTTTGGACGAAGCATCCAACTGTTATCTAATAGGCTTCAATGAATCATAATAACTGAGTACAGGTGCTTGTGTAATCACTTGTTAAACCTTGTTAAAAGCGTCAGATTGGACTGAATCCCATCTGAACTCTACGTCATTGCATAATAACTCTCGCATCGGGATAGTTATCTCCGAGATATTTTGTGAGAATTTTGTCAGGTATGAAATCATACCCAGAAGGGTTTTAAGCTCAGCACGATTTGCCGGATTTTTTATTTCGATAATTGCGCTAATTTTCTCAGGGTCAGGTTTCAGTCCATCAGCACTGATCACGTGACCGAAATATTTAAACTCTGCTAAACCTATTTTTAGTTTGTCAGGGTTAAATCGTAAACCGCCTGCCTTTGCTCGGTCGAGTACGTTCTTAAAGCAGCACGCCTCCAGATTCATGCTAATTTTCATGAAAATTTGAAAATGTATCTGAATGTTTGATATTGTGAAGTAACCAAATGGAAACAATTTACACATTTTCAATGCCACATACAACCCGCGTAAATTACTAAAAAGTGGTCAAAATATGCATAAATAGCCCTTACTGCGTTAGTAACGCAGTAGAAATATAGTTGTAAATACTGAAAAATCAGTCATTAATCGCACAGAACCTTTAAAATATTACTTGAATCTTGAATCTTTTTACATTTCCTAAAATTTTAGTACATTTTTCTTAAGTTTGATTTTATTGAAATATTTTGACTCATCTGGAGGCATGTAGCTTTAAGGTTTCTGTCATGTTCTGTGCTTCAAAACACTAATAAGTCGTCAATAATTGACGTCACACCCTGTAAACCTTCAATTGTCTTGTCAATTTTCCGTTAGAAAATGTCTTGAGAACTTCTTATGCCCATCGGAAGTCTTAAATATTTGCACCACCGTCCAAATACTGTGTTTAATGTTGTGAGTGACGATGAGTGGTCGTGTAACTTAATTGACCAGTAACCTTTGGTCGCGTCTAATACACTGAAGTATTTAGCGCCAATAGAACGAAATGGATCATACGGCCTTCTTATATTTTCATTCAATGCTTTGGGGTCAAGACAGATACTAAGCTTACCTGATGAAGGTTTTTCAACACATACTAGTGTATTAACCCAGTTTGTAGGTTCTGTAACCTTACAAATAATTTCTTTTGACTCCATTGAGTCGAGCTCTTTTTTAAGCTTATTTCTGAGTCCAAAAGGTACTTTCCTAGGTGGACAAACAACGGGAACAGAATTTGCCTTCAAATGAAATGAATATGTTCCAGGAAATAACCCTATCCCATGAAACAAATATTTGTACTCTCTAAGTACAGTGTCCTTACTTAGGTCAGATGTGTCAATAGATTCAATCTTATTGACAGAATATGTTAATCTTAACAGATCTAAATCAACAGATGTTCTGAGGCTTAACAGCTGGGTATCAGAACTCTCAACTACATAAAATTCGGAACACACTGATTTGTTATTGTATTTACAGTATAACCATAATTTCCCAAGCATTGGTAATCGGTAACCTGTGTACGAAGTTAACCTGGATGCTTCCAAAGGGTGTGTAATTTTCAGTTTCCTAAATATGTGGTTTAGGAGGCAATTTATTTGTGGAGTAGGACCTGAATCAATTTTGCAATTAATATTGGTAAACATATCTTGCGTGCCAATCAAAACATTTACAAAAACATGATCAGGAGAAGATGAAAAAGAATTTACCGTGTGATCAAAGAATTCTTGGTCTACTCGCCGTCCGATTCACACACATAATCCACAGTGTCACCTTTATAATGTAATAGCTCGTGAACGGGTAAAGATGGATACGATCGGGTTTATGAAAACAATATTTATTTTCGATATAATATATCAAAAACTAGTGTGACATCTGAGGGTTCATTATTCAATGTACATGTAATACTCAAATTATACAATTTCTACGACATCAATTACGGTTATTTTTATTGAATTATTTTCGATCTATTTTTGTATACATTATACTGCTTCAAAATCGTAATCGATTACACTAAGCAGGCGCGTTGTCTGGGAATAGCTGTTACAAACAAATATGTTAAGTGCAAATTTATAGACATAAGGTAAAAGCAAGTTAAAAAGAACTACAAGACTGAGATAAAAGTTAAAAGCAAAGCTGGCTTAGAACTGGTAAAAAGGATGCAGCTGCCCAGTAAAGAGGTCTAAACTGGGACTAGCTTGTAAGGACACGGGTAGGCCATTCCACAGACGAATACTTCTGGGGAAAAATGAATAGGAGTGGTATTGTGTCCTTGAATATGGTATTAGGAAGTTCAGGTTTCTAGTGGGTGTCAGATGGTGATGGT